ATATGACAGCTACCAAGAGCAGAAAGTAAAAGGCTCCCTTTGGCTCCTCCGACCCCCTTGTTGTCATGGCAACCAATAAAATACAGTGGGCTCTGCTTAAGTGACCAATAAATCACGGCAATCTCTGTTTTCTGAAAAATGCCTTTGACCAATCAAATCTTTTATAAGAAACAATCTCTCTGTGATGGCTTCTAAATAACCCCCTCTTATTTGCTCATTAAAGCACATTTTGGACTATTATCACTGCTCATTGCACATATTTGCTCTACTGTGAAAATTTCCACACCCCCTGACTCATATTTTTGCACTTCCTGCTAAAATCTAGACAAATCTCTTATTGTGAAACAGCTATATTGTACATATTTGTTATGTTTTAGCACTTTATTTAAGTTTCTTTGTCAAATGTTTACTGTCTCTCTTCTATTCTATATTTACGTTCTTGAGCGTTGCCGTCCTTTGCCTTATTTTATTCCTCTTAATATGTTTACTGTATGTTTAATTTATGGACCAAAAACCAAAGCAAAATCCTTGTAAGTGAAAATCTACTTGATAATAAGTCTTATTCTGGTTCAGAGTCTTTACATTAGGGTCAGGAATCAGAAAGTAACTCACGATACGATCATGACACGTTGCCCAAAATAACGATGGTATCACGATACAGTGATTCTCGATGCATTTCAAGACAATCTACGAAACATTACAATGTCCATGTACCTGAAAAATACCCCAATTTTGAGTTCACACGAAACGTAAAGCGAATTTTCACATCTTATTACTTGCGCGAGTTTGAACGCTAGAATATTTTGTGTTGACTTGCTTAATACCCCTTAACTTTTCGCGTCATAAACATGTGAAATTGCTGAATCGCTGAATGAACTCCAGAGCGTCTTAATGCTGATTGGCTATTGCAGTGCAAATTGGTCTTTTAAGTCAAGATTCTCCAGCTCTCTCAAATACACGTCCGACGCAAAATTGTGCTACTCGCTTCATTTGGGCTACTTTATTCGCACATTCCGCGTCATTCGATTCTCATCCACTGCACAGCCTGGCGGGAACTCGGGTTTCATCGCGTCTTTACATTGACTTATTGGATGCAAAAATTACCACTCCCATGAACATTGCAACTCATATTGCAATCATAATAACTGTCAAAATAACTGCAATATGATTGTTTTGGATGACGTGCAGCTCTACTTACAACTGTGGTAGTGTTTTCTCCATGACGAGATCAGGATGATGACGAATCAGGTGGCTATGTGTGTCTGTTGTGGTGCCCGTGTACTATACTGTCATGAGACAGTTCATGCATGTCACGAAGTCTCGATCAATTTTGTTTGTCACATCTGTGCTGTAAAAGCTGAAGTTGGCCAAGACTTTCGACTTAAAAGATGAAGGTGCATCCCTTCTGTGATCTTCTTCATCAAGTTAGTTAACTTCTGTTCACTTAAACCTCATGTATTTGAGAAGCGCCACCAAGAGGAATCATGGAGTAGTGACTCTTCTAAGTCAAACTGGCAGGGGAATCTGTTTAGAGCTGCAGCATGTTTTAATAAAAATGTGGATATTTGGCACCAGTGTATCTATAAGGTATCGCAAGAGGAAGTAATATGATATATTTCCATATCAATATTTTGTCCCTACTATAATTAGGTGGAGCAAGTCATCCTATAATACTCCAGCAGTGTAGGTTTTTAATAGAAAGTTTCAGATTCACATGATAATCTAAAGGTTTCAGACGCTCCTCTACACTGACAAAAAATAATAGTTTCAACTTAAGCCCCGGGAGACACCTGTAAGAACTCATGAGGGATCTCAAACCTGTTTGGCCAATTGCCACCGCAGAGCAGAGCTTCAATCTCGCTCGGCTCTCAAGGAAAAAACAGGTCAGCAGCAGTCTTTACCTCTGTCAGGTTGGAAAACAGTGATATGGAGGACTACAGGGAGTGCTTCGACTAAAGCTAGAAAATACAAAACTTGAAAGTGGTCTGTTTTTTCTCTCACTTATTCATCCAAGGGACTAATTAGTCACAAGCCAGACGCACTGCTGTGACCCCGGCAGAGCTCAACCTGAGGCTCAGGACTCCCTGAGGACACATGAGCGGATGCCGTGGTCACAAAATCATTTCTATTAAGCAAACAGGATGTAATACAGCACTTTCCTCTGTTGGCCTGTGTACTTCAGGTGTTACATGGCCTTTCATTTAGCATGTCCAGCATTTTTTCAAGCCCTAAAGCCTCACTTCACACTCTGCAATCTAACAACAGTATAATTAACTCCCAAGTGCGACATTAGCTGACTGATAAACTCTGATCACATTTTTGGTACTTGTCAAGCAAGCAAAACATACAGCTAATTACAGAGAGACTACATGCTCTAAATATAACACTCAGGTGATTAGCACAAGAGACTCAGGGAAACTGTAAACTGTGCTCATTCTAGTTTGCTCATCTTTATTTTAGTGTTATTGGATCCAGTGCCTCAGATGTTGATTCGACAAAAAGTAACATCAGCGTGTGTGTGATGCATAGAAAAAGGTATTCATCATTTTATGCTTCTTTTAAGAGGTGCACTGATTGATCAACTGGTGACCAGAATTGGCTGATTTCAGCTTGATGGGCCATGACTGTTGACCGGCTGGTCAGTCTCAGATATAGCCGACACTGTGTCAATCAAATTTACATGCATGCATGGCACAATGGTTAACATCACGCGCACAGCTTCACAGAGAATGACCAACCAGCAACTCTGGGTCTAAACACCGAAGTCCAAAAAAAACTGCAGTACTCTGAATGGCCACTTGAGGCTGGCTTAAAAAGCGAGTCAATCCCCATAGACCCCCATGTGAAACTGCCAAAGCTAACAGCAGAAAAATGTGTTTTCCTCCTTCATGAAAACTGTACTGGGGTGAATTTTTGTACAACCACTCGCCTGTTTACATTATTTTAATGCTTAAAGTTATGCATAATTAAGGGTAGGCCTCTGTGAGTGACAGACAGGCTACTGACAGTGTCCTAAGCTTGTCAGTCAGATCCAACCTTCGCTCCTCCACAGCACCAACCTCTAGGCCAAATATAGTCACTTCTACCTCTGAAAAACCAAGATGGCAATTGCTAAAATGCCAACTTCTCATTCCCAGGTCATCAAATGCTGACACTTTGTCATGTCCTCTTGTTAGCAACTTTTCAGACTGTTTTTGGTGACTTTACTTCTTAAGTGCAACTAGCACTAATATGTCGGTGAAGATTCTCAGTCAATCAGGTTATGGTAATCGTAAGTGCTATATCGTAGGCAACTGGACTTGCTTGCGTTTCTTGAAGACGTTTTGCCTCTCATCCAAGAAGCTTCTTCAGTTCTAAATGACTGGTACGAAGTTGCAGGCTATAAACCCTGTGTGGGTGGGAACCCTTGCAGAGTCGTTAATGTCACAATGTGAGTCGTTGACCCACCTGGCCACCAAGTCCAGTTGCTTACGATATAGCACTTACGATTAGCACTAATATGAAAATAATTTGTTTGAGAACATATAGATCTGTTTCACCTGTTGTCTTTTGGGAAAGTATAATATGTTAGATTAAGTGGGATGTACTGTGGGATTCATTTTCAGGAGGATTCTATTCAATTCCTTATCCTGTCGGGGGTCATAGGGTGCTGGAGCCTATCCCAGGTAACACTGGGCGAGAGGCAGGGTACACCCTGGACAGGTCACCAGACTGTCACAGGGCTGACACATAGAGACAGACAACCATTCACGCTCACATTCACACCTACGGGCAATTTAGAGTCACCAATTAACCTGCATGTCTTTGGACTGTGGGAGGAAGCTGGAGTACCCTGAGGAAACCCATGCTGACACGGGTTCAAACCTCCCACCCTGGGTTCAAACCAGGAACTCTCATGCTGTGAGGCGACAATGCTAACCACTGCACCACACAAACTTTGTGTATGATGTCAAATAGTTCTTAGAAAGACAGAAAATCAGAATCAGCCAATACTTTAAAAAGTCAGAATCAGCCCAAAAAAACGAATCCAGGCATCTCTACTTCTTTTGTGATTACAGTGTATGAGAGACAGACTTTTTGGGTCAGTCAGTGCATCACCTGACCTCCAAATTCAGTCTGTGGACACTACGCCTACAAGGCCTCACAGGCCTCACAGGCCAGTGCTACTCTCGGAGGAGTTTGGCTCAGGCTGAGACTGGGTGAGCAGCTGCTTGTCTTCATTATGTATGTTAGAGACTAGTGTTAGAGGTTCAGGTTCACACAAACTCCAAAAGGCTCTTGGCGAAAACAAATTCACTGACGCTGACAAAAAAACATGTCTGAGTGTGAACTTCACCCGATTTCTAACCTCGGCTATCCTGCTAGGCAAAGTGAAGGACTCAGCACAGGGAAAATACATTCCTGTACATCTTACAAAATAAAAGCCAGACTCTTCACTTCTCTGTGCTGAAATGCTTTTACTATGAAGCAGCTACAGCTTGTCTCACTCTCCGAAACTAACCTGCAAACACGCAAATACAAACTGACTCAATCAGAACATCTGCACCTTTGTATATTCCTAAAGCGACTGAAAAAGCAGAACAACAAACACTTGAATTTTACTATCTGTCGCCTGTTGTCATTTTCTGAGGGGGGCACCAAGGACAGTAAAAGAACTGTCCCTGAGTCTGACAGTTTTCAGCGTGTTGCTATGCGCTGCTATTATTCAGCATGAGTGCTAATTTATTCACAGGGTTTGTGTTTTTCCATCTATTCATTTTAATGACAGAAAACCAAGAAAGGCTGCTAATGCCTGCTGGAGAGCGCTCGGATTATTTGATACAGCAAAGCTCCGCAGCTGCCAATAACACCATTTGTTTCACTTTCCCGGCCGGAGTAAAAAAAAAAAAAAAAACCTTTAAGCACCAGTTGGTTTTGTCACCCTGATGGCTTTCCCGAGGTGCTGGAGATGAGCTTGTTACAGTGCGTGTGATTTTTGCGCGCGCACGCCTTGCTCTTACCTTGCGGCCGTCGCTTGCGTGGCAGTTGACGTTGAGCGGAGTGAGCAAGGCCATTAGCTTCTCCTCGTTTCCGCTCCTGCAAACGCACACACACACAAATGCACCCATTAGACAGAAAACATCCAACACCATAGAGGATTAGCACTGTTCCTCAGCAGGAGTGTGGGGGAGAAAATGAGGGAGAGTGAGATAAGAAAAAAAAGGAGAATTTCATCTGCAGAGACGGACTGACATAAAGGAATGTATGGAGGATGTATCGAAGGGTGTGTGTATGTGTGTGTTTTCTTGTAAACCTGACCGCAACAAGCTAAAAAAATGTGTAAGAGAAGACCATCTATCCTAGCTGCAGTGGTTGTTGTTTATGTTGTTGTTGTGTGTATCCTCGTTCCTAGGCTCACTGCCCTGGTATTGGGTGACCACCAGGAAAGTGTTGCCAAGGCAGCGGCCGATCCAACCATCATCCCGGTGACAGCCGTAAAGGAAGAAGCTGTCACACGGAGAGAAAGGGATTATTCTTCTATTCTCCTACGTTCCCCTCCTCTCCCTCTACCCCTCTACTTTTGTTTTTTGGTTGGGCCTCTCCTTCCTTTGCTTTGTTTCTATATCTTTCACTCTCTGACCGAAAAAGACATTCACATCCTCCCCATCTCTCCTGTCGCTCTTCCTGTTCTTTCTCCAACGACCATTATCTGCTGCTCTCCTCACCCTTTTACCCTCGTGCTCTCGTCTCATCTAAGCTGTCCACCTTTACCCTCCACCCCCGGTTTCTTGCTTCTCCACCTTTACTTACACTGCTCAGCATCTTCCCTCTAGTTTTCTCACTCTTTTTTTATTCTGCTCAACAAGCCGCCTCCTACTGCTGGTACCCGAGCACAAGGGAGCCTTCATTTCGATGCAAACAACATCTTGAGGATTTAACAGGGACGAAGGACACAGCGTTGTATGTGTGTGTTTGTGTGCCTGTTAAATAGATATATGGAGGGCACAACACTGCATCTAGCTGATTAATAATAATAGGAATCAAGTCAAAAGACGGAAGCCAAGTAAGGAATATTTTGGGGAATTTGTTAATTTACTTCCTTGATGAGAACTATTTCGATACCATGTCTATTGAGTAAATAGGAAACCCCATCCAGCAGCAGATTGCTAGCAGACAGAGCCAGGATAGCTGGTTCCATTTTTTCTGATAAGCTAGCATTTCTCAACAAGGGTGGTACCGGCTCCCAGGGGGCATTTCGAGAAAGTCGGAGGGGTGCTGGAAGCTAAAGTGTTCTTGGGGGGCCTCTGTGTCCAGTTTCATCCTACATGCACATTTTCACAATTTTATTATTAGGAGTTCAAACCCGAAGAGCTAAAACCCTATTGTTTTCATATTGCTTGTGTGTAAGATTGTTTTGAAATCGCTCAACAGGGGGCGCCACAGCATTTTGATTTTTATGAAAAACACATTTTTGAGCCCATCTGTGCAGAGTTTGCATGTTCTCCCCATGTCAGCGTGGGTTTTTCCTGGGTACTCTAGCTTCCTCCCACAGTCCAAAGACATGCAGGTTAATTGGTGACTCTAAATTGTCCGTAGGTGATTGTGAATGGTTGTCTGTTGTCAGCCCTGTGATAGTCTGGCGACCTGTCCAGGGAGTACCCTGCCTCTCGCCCAATGTCAGCTGGGATAGGCTCCAGCCCCCCAACGACCCCTAACGTTATACAAGGTTACGGAAAATGAATGACTGAATGAACATTTTTGACATCTCGTCCTAAACCCTATGTCCCATTTGTCATTATTGGACCAAGCATTGTCAAAGTTATCAAAAGCTTGCTGATATCTCACTGGGTTTTAAGGATATTGATGAATGCACTTTAAAAGGAGCCTGGCTCAGCACATGATAAGACCTAACTCGAAACTTGTAGGTTACATGCGCATCAGTTACTTAAACGTATCCTGCAAGCTTAGTTCAAATTGACCACTAGGGAGCACTACAAATGCAAAAATGGGCATGGTGTAATACAAATCAAACTATAAATTTAGAAATTGTTCCTCTAATCATTACATGTGTGTAAAATTATTTTTCAAATTGGTCAATAGGGGGCGCTGTAACAGTATTTTAATTTTTATTAAAACACATTTTTGACATCTTGTCCTAAACTAGGTGCCATTCGTCATTATTGGACCAAGCATGTCAAAAGTTATCAAAAGCCTACTGATATCTCATTGGGTTTTGAAGATATTGATGAATGAACTTCAAAAGGGGCGTGGCTCAGCACATAATTAGACCTAATTCCACAACCGTTGGGTCAATTATCATAAAACTTGTAGGTTACGTCCACATCAGTACCTTAAACATATCCGGAAAGATTAGTTCAAATCAACCACTAGGAGGCATTACAAATGCAAAAATGGGCACCGCGTATGACTATAACAAGACTTGCGGAATATGTTAAACAATAAATGAATCGTGTGTAAAATTATTTTGAAGCCACCATTTTCAAATATGTTCATTTCCCTGGCCATAGATCAGTGACAGTTTTTCCATCATCAAAGTTGGCGGATACTTCTAGTTAATATGTTGAAATATGCCCCCCAAAATGTTTTTGCCAATGACCAAAAGTGGGTCAAGGCATTACTGCAGAAACACAGAGCCTGGCACAGATTTGATCCTAAATGAATGAGCCTTTGTCTGATCATTATAAAATCTGTGTTTTATCGATATTGTAGGTGTTGTAAACTGTCAAAGATCTCTATCTTTCACATCTTTCAATTTCTAACGGTCCATGTTGGCTTGAAACCACGGCATTACGGCTATATTCTGACTTGCTTTTACCACCATCATCTGAGACATTTATACAATGAGGCATTTCCTGCCAAAGACTTTTTATCTGAATCTCTTGTGCACAGCTTTTCATTGTTTACTATGGAACAGCGCGCTGCAGTGCTTCAAGTTTGCTCCTCCATCAATTCTTTTAATGCGCTTCACAGTGCAAAGCTATCCTACTTCGAATGGGGCGTGTTGGAGCAACAGTGCTTTATAAACAGAGGGAGGGGGATTATTTGGCCCGGGGACAGGCAAGCATTGCATAGCAGGAAGCCTCGGCTATAGGTCGGTGGTCCGTAGCCTACAGTCTGCTCTCCTTAGTCTTTGTTCCGGTTTTCCACCTCTGATGAGCAGCAGTGCACAGGTGCTTCCCGAAACTTAAACCTGAACTACATAAACTTTCTCATCCAAAGAAGACTCAAACCGGGCTGCCTGTCTGTCAAACGATCTGAAGGGGATACTAGAGTGCAGAGCAATAACATCGTGCACAGCAGACTATAGGGCAGGACTTTTCTTTCTCAAAGTACTATTTCATTCTCGATTTACCTGTAATATGTTTAGAATGTGCAAGCAGTTATAAACATGAGCAGAAATCGTGCTGAGACACATTTGAGCCAAAGTCCAGGCACTTCTAAAGTCATTAAAATGTGACATGAATGGGTGCCACATGCACACTTCCCCGAACAAACGACACAAATGAGGACTGAAGAGCAAATCATGCCTACAGGTGAGTTGACTCAGCAGAGATAACATTGAGAAGAGCTGATCTACAGGAGAATAAATATTTGAAAGCAATACCGAATGTCCGACAGCCCTACTGCATCATGTTCTACTATATTCCATACATTGTTATATTTTGAATTGTCACCTGTCACCTGAATTTTGCGTTTTCCTTCACATGAAGATGGATTTTTCCACCATAAACTGCTGCATTAAATTCACCAGAATGCAGGAAATAAAGTGTTTAATGCTCAAAATGTTCGAATAAGATGCTTCTTGTTCAGCACTGGTGCCAAATTACTGTACTGCTTTCTGACTGGCTGCTGTTTGAGATCAATAATGAGATTTTAATTAAAGTTTGAATGTCAAATTTCCAACACTCACTAAATATAATTTCTATTCACGGGGCGTTTGTGCTCTCTGAGAAATTAATGATAATAATATTACAGCCGTCCATTTAAATCAAATCTTATTTGGCATTCAATGACATGCCTTTTCAATGATATAACAGAATAATAATCAACATCAATATTCAAGGACAGCTATTAGTCTACATTTTAATTGATGGGGGAGGGTAAGGGACCTGATTAATGGATCCCCATATCCATTAAAAAAAAGGTTGAGTACCACTGTGCTGAGCTTAGTTAACCATCCATAGGCCCCCACCTTTTTTTTAACAGACAGATATGACAGTGGTACTAGTCTTTCATTCGATGCTCGAAAGATGGCAAAGAAGCTTATTTCCCCAAATCTAAAACTCCAGGATGAGCATCCTTGTAATATTACCATGTTCACAAAAATCCAGTCATCTCTCATATCTTGATTCTGTGTTAGGCATTTCAAAGGTGCAGTCAGAGGCATCGTCTTGTTGTGAATGTTCTATGAATCTCTGATCTCACACAAATTATCTACAGTGGCCCACGAGGGACAGCGCTCGCAACCATGCCTGAATATTCATCGTTTTTTTTACACATGGAGGGAAATGAAAATGGGTTTCTGAGAATCTCTGTCAGTGTGACGGGATGTTCACTGCTTCTAGCATCTTATCTCAACACCCTCCGAATCACTCGAGCTGCATGTTAATGGTATGAAGTTAACAAAGATTACAACAACCAACCTTCTGGGTGCGTTACATTGACACTCAGTGAATGTGACAAGTAGGGAGTCCATGCAAAAGATTTAGCCAATCCAAACATAATTTAAAGACTAAGATTAAGTTAATAAACAGTGGAGTGTGTAGATCAGCAAAGTCACTAATGAGAGCCTGGATGTCTGTCAGGTGTGCTGTGGAGGTGTTGCAGGAGCAAAATCAAAAGGCAGTGATGCAGGGTGGACGTCTAGGAGTAGGAAGGGAGGTAGCGAGTTAACACCTGAGGCAGCTTTTATAGCCAGGAAGGCCAGGGTGAGCTTAATCAAGTAATGAACCTCCCATGTCGGCCAACTGCCTGATGAGGTTGGCTTGGTCACTTGGTCATCCTGCAAGACAGCGGGAGCTGCGCCTAATCATTGAGCCTCACTCACCAACTGTTCTTAACAAGAAATGTTGGAGCCCAAATATTTATTAAATTATATGTTCAGGCTGCACACGTTCTTTTGGTCACTTTCACTTCCCATAGTTGTAATTGACACAGGTGTGGATGTGGTTTCACATTATTTTACCTGTTCATTCACTGGTGTGGCGGCCTTTAGACAAAGAGGGGATATTTTCTGTTGACTGTAATTACGTCATGTAATATTTTGTTTCATCGCATTTTGCTTTAGTTATCTCAGCTGTTTTTTTAATTAATCATTATAAAACGCATCTTTGGACTTCGGCATGGATTTCCTTGAGCGAGTCATAATTGAGAGCCTACTCAGCCTTTTAGTGACTTTTTTGATTGATAGCAGACACTACAAGAAATTTCTTCATTAAAACCCACTTAGGCAGTTTTCACAAAGATTCTAACATTCACAGATGTTTTCTTACTGGATTTGTTCTTAGATAAGAACAGAATCTATGCACACTCATGAGCATATTTTGGGCAAAATAAATACTTATTGTTTTTCCTTCAATTATACATGTGTATGAAAATACAGGATTAAAATTACAATATTGTTTTTATCATTTATAATATTTCTTAATGATTATTTTTATCAATTGACGTAGCACTACAGCCTTATATAACAAATAAAGACTACACTAACACTTCAGTTCATTTCAATTATGTTAATTGGGAACCATCAAATAATTAGTGATTAAGAACACTATCTATTGGCCCAAAGTAGGCCTGTTTTTATGCAATATATGTATTTTTTCAGCCTTATATTTGAGATCAAACCTTTTTTTTTACTTCAATAGCTGTGCAGTGTTCCCCCGAACTGAATGCGTAATAGCATCCCATGCATCTTTTTTTGTTATTTTATATCCACTACTGATGCTACTAAATATGACCGCTCATTTAGTGTTTACTTCCTGCAGAAATACCTCCACTTCAGAGTGCTCCACCCTCTTGAGACTTTGCTTTGGGCTTTGGGCATCCAGGGCTTCAGCCGAACGTATTTTCAGTGATTCACACCTATTAGGTTCAGAGGCGCCCAGACAAGTCAGGCAAACCAGGCAATTGCTTGGTATCCGACGGCCACTCATATTAGGCACATTTGCAATGACAAGTGTGTAGTTAGTGTATTTATTGTGCATACTGGTGGCCAGCACCGAGTCGCTGCGTTTTACTTAGTCTTGTACACATACAACTGTCCGTTTCGTTTTTGACATATATTTCCCACTCCAAACTGACCACACACACCATCTAAATGTGAAGCAGATTTTCTCTTTTGTGCTTTGGAGGCTTTATCTCCGCAACGGATTGGTCGATTTTAGTGATTGACACCTCGTTTGATTCATTAGAGCCAGTAGAATCAGGCTATTCCCACCAAAACGAGATTGACAACACTGTAAGCCAATCAGAGTCAGCAGAACACCGTTGTGGGGCCGGAACCTAAAGCCCGTCATGTTCGCCCGGATTCATTTGCACACAACACAACATGTCCGTCTACCAGGAATGTTTACCGGCAGAATTATTGCTTCATGGCAAAACAACAACGGTAAGAGAAATATTACAACTATGGCTGGGCGAAATGATTTCTGTTGTTGTTGTTCTTTGGCCTCTATCCCTCTGAAGCTTTGGCGTAGAGTGCTCTGGTGGATATGTGTGGGAACAGCAGAGTCTCTGCTTTCATTTGAAATGAACGGTGTGTTTTGCATAACGTGGCGTCGAGGTAGAGCCCGAAATATACCAAGTGGGTCAGCACATTGGTGCTGTATGGTGTTTGATTTGTTGTTGTTTATTTAGTTGTTGTTTGAGCTGTGTTTGGGGCATGTAAAAAGGGTTTATACAACCTTGTAGCCCAGGTTCTGCTGTTTAATTTGATGTGCAACATCACTATATTCTTCGTGATCAGTGTATTGTTTCACTCTGTGTTTGCAAAGCCGCAAAGTCCTCCAATTGGGGGACTTCCGGGTTTTTAACCAACAATTTGGGCAGCCCAGTAGAAGAGTGCTCATTCTTTGACAAGCCCTGCAGTCTCATGCCCCTTTATGGGGACTGGCCTGTTGTTCACCGATGCCGATCAATTATCATCATAATCATCTTCATCATTGTAAGAGGACAGGTGTGGACACTTCTGCAGTTTAAAAGCATGTCATGAATCTGATACAGACTTTTCTAAGGACCTTTCTCAAGAACAATATATACATAGACTGTATAAAGTAATGGATGCAATGGACGCCACCATGACATCATCCACTGGTTTGGAGCCAGAGGTGACTATATTTGTACGAGAGGGTGAAGCTGTGGAGAAGCGAGGAGTGAGAGCCTGAAGGCATTATTTACCGACAGCCTTTCACCTAAAGCAGCCTGCCCTTAATCGTGCCGTATTTTAAGCCTTAATAACTTGTAATAGGTGAGTTATAAAAAAAAATTCACCCCCCATACTGTTGTCACAAACAGGGAAATTAGCTATAGAGACCAAACCATTTTTTTGGACCAAGCTGTACACATTCTGCTGTAAAGTTGGGCATTTTAACATGGGGGTGTATGAGGATTGACTCGCTTTTGAAGCCAGCCTCAAGTGGCCATTAGAGGAACTGCAGCTTTCGGCACTTATGTTGGCTTCATTTTTCAGCCCTGGAAGCTGCTGCTTGGAAAAAACTGAGGGAGATATTGGTGAATGAGGTTAATTGTTTTTATACTATCAATTGATCAGATCACTAGGGTGTAACATGACGATGCTGTTCCTGGTATAAACCCAAAGACCAACCTACTGTTTTTACGTAATACATAAGTAGCACTTGCACGTTCCAGTTTTAGTATTTCCTTTTTATGCTACCTTATACCTCTTTTCTACTACATTTAAGAACATATATTTAATTGATCACTGAGCTTTAAGCTGTTGAAACAGCTGATACAATTTTCTAATACTGACAGCCTACAGCTCCTAAGAGAAAACACGGACCAGCAGAGACTTGACTTGGTTGCTGTCAGGTAACTGGAAGCCTTAAAAGGACAGGTTTGGTTTACAGAAATCATGAACATTAATAATTATGTTTTTTTCAGTCAATGCCTCGAGCCACTGCTTTACTCTCTGACTGCACAGAATCATTTTACTAGATATACTTGTTCTTCTATACCACTGTGCAGGGATGCAATGTGAGCCACAAATAAGAGGGAAAAAATAAAGCAGAAGAACTATGTGTGGGAGTTATGTGACCAAACACCACACTAAAAAAAGTTTTTTTGTTTGTTTTTTAAGAAAAAGAAGAAGAAATTCCTCTGAATAATGTCACTGGTGATGAGCCAGTCAGTGGCTCAGCTGGGATGGAGGCACACTGAGTTCACAGTTCACACTTAAACAGCCCGCTGACCCCGTAATACACTGGGGTACTGCTATGCTAAGCCAGCTGCTTCCTTGTGTGTGTGTGCGTGTGTGTGCATGTGCCTAGGAGGGAGAGAGAGAGAGAGAGAGAGAGAGAGAGAGAGAGAGCAAGAAAGCGGGGTAGAGGGAGAAAGAGAAGGAGGGAGGCTGTTGAGGCATTGAGCGCTCAGCCACCCACACACAATCCCAAACGAAAGCTATGCCATTTCCACATGCGAGAGCCTAAAACACACACACACTCAAACACACACACAAACACATTGCCCACATGCACTGCCTGCAACCATAACATGCCTCCAAAATGCACAAGCGTCCCTGGACCACATGCACTGCGGTCTCTGAGTCTGAGAACCCTGTCCAGTGTAGGAACGAAGAGTGTGTGTGTGAGTGTGTGGGGTTGTGATGGAGGGAAAGAAAGAACAAGTGATGAACAGTTTGATACACAAGGAGGGAGCGGCAAAATGAGTGAATGCAAGTTGGAAGGAAAACTGAACGTGGCCGGAAATTATGGGATTCAAACAAAGGAGAGGAGAGGAGAGGAGAGGAGAGGAGAAAGGAAATGAAAGAAAGCAGAAACAGGCAAAAAAGGGCAGGAAATGAGAAAAAAGAGAAAGAACAAGGAGGAGGAAACAAGGGAAAAAGATGAAAGGAAATGACAGGAAATGAAGAAAAAGAGAAGAAGCACGGGAACAAGAAAGGAAAGAGGAGGACAACAAACAAGGACTGGAAACAGAAAACATAAGTGGATCAGAGAGGAGAGAAAGAAGAGAGAAGATGGAAGGAGGGCAAACACGGAAACAAGAATAAAGGGATGAAAATGGAAGAAGAGGAAATAAGAGGAAATAATAAGCCAGGAGGAGAGTGGAGGGGGCAAGGAGACAAGTGATGAGGGGAAACAAGACATGGAGAGGGAAAGGAGGAGGAGAGAAGAAAGTAAGCGTGAAAACAAGAGATGAGAGGAAGCCAAAGAGCCGGGCAGGTGAACAAGGAAAAGGAGGAAAAGCGGCAGAGGAAGGCGAAACATGAAAGGATGTCACAAGGCGGTAAAAAGCGTCATCAGGCAAGAGACAAACCAAATGAAAACAAAGACCATGCAGAGTCTGGTACTCACCTCGCCGCCTCCAACAGCTCATCCTTCTTGTATTCACCTAGATGGTTACAGAAGATCATAGTGTCAGACAACTGGCCGCCAACACACACCGACCACACACAGACGCACATGATCAAACACACACACATGTAAAGACACACACAGAGGAAGGATCTATCCATTGGGGGGGGGGGCACTCTCTCTTTCTATCTCTCCTCCTTCCTCCCCCTCCTCCTCCTCCTCATCCTCCTTCTCTCTTTCTCTGCCATTCTCGCTCAGTCAGTGCGCACCCCTCTGGCTCCGGTTGCCGTGGCGATGCGTTGCCGGCAGCGACCACAGCACGTTCATTGTTTGGGCGACGAGCGGCAGACAGACACGCGCTCTGCCTCTATCCGTCCGTGTGTCCATCCATCCCTCCCTCCTTTGCCGCGTTTGTCTCCCGTCTCCCGGCCGCCGCTCATGCTGCTAACCATCTTCCCTTGTTCTCCATCATCACTGTCTCTCTCTCTCTCTCTCTCTCTCTCTGTCTCCCTGCTTCTTCCTTTTTTTTCCTATGGGCTCAGGAGGCGCAGTTAACCATCAAAAAAACACAACAGAAATAAACAAACCCCTCCCCCTGCCTCCCTTGCCTTCTCTCCAGCTCTCTCTCTCACTCTCTTAGCCCTGCCCCCCTGCTACTACAGTCACAACACACACACACACACACACACACACACACACCTTCCCATATGTGTCTTTTTCTGCCTGGGAAACAGACAAGGGAAGGGGAGACAGCCGCTCCGCTCAGACATGAGAATGTGCAACATCACTGGATTCATCTGTCTCTTTATGTAATGGCTTTGTGACATTCAAACATACAGTAGGTCTTTGTTAAGGGTGGAACACTTAACCATTATATGGATTTTAAATTAAAAATAATTATTGATTTTAAAACAATATGTATTGTGAAATGAGTTATATAACAACTCTGAACAGTCTGCTGTGACTAGTAATGTCTTAAATGTGTTTAACATGTAGACCTGACGTTTCAGAGCTCAACACTAACTTTCAAAAGTGGTTGCCAGGCTGGCAAACAGGCAGCTTTCTGTTGCCAAAACTACAAATATGGTTGCTTTTTTAGTCACTTAATATTTTGATTAATTAAAGGTGACCTTCTTTATATCAGTTAGTCACATTGTTTTACCTTGAATTCATTAAGAAAACTTCATTTTTTTTGCATGCCTCCACATAAAATGATGAACTCATTGTTTTATTGATTGATTAATTGGGGCCATGTTTAACAAAAGCAAAACTGTAACAGTGTGGGTTCCTTTTTGTTTTTTTTGTTCAGTTTCACCTGGCTCTTTGTCGGCTGAATCAATTTGCAGATCCATTTGTGATGTCGGCGGGTTAAGCCTAGTTCACATTACACGATTTTCACCGCGATTTTGACGTCGCAGAGGATCTTGAGAGCCACCTTGGGTCGGAGGTGAGTTGGCAGTAAGTCTTCCACGACGAGTCCTCATGTGTGAACAAGCCTACGAGCAAGTCGCCCCCTTGTCTGCGACTGGGATTGGATACCTGGCATGCTAGAAAACTGGAGAAGTGTGACACAACTGACAAAGAGCATCAGCCAATGAGAGGCGGGATACGTCCCATGTCAGCACACAGGAGGACAGAAGAAATGTGAAGAGGACAAGCCGCAGGGTTGCCACTTGCCGGGTCTGCTTAATAGCCACGATTTTGGCCTTGTTTCTAAAGTGGAGTTGCTTATTTGGGCTTGCTGTCTAAACGTCACCTTTCTCTATATATATCCGTTGCTTCTTTTGGGCTTGTTTCCATAGCCCTGGTTGCTTGTTTCTCACCCAAGATCTGGCAACACTGACAAAGACAACTGGCAACAACAATGGCGGCGTCCATAGGATCATGCGGAGCATGGTGTGTTTGGACCCAGGCCCTGGAGGCAGATCTGATTCAACACTGCCTTTACGATGTGTCGTCTCCAAGTTAAAAAATGTAGTTTGGTGATGTAGTTTGGTGATGTCACCGCGTTATCTGGGGCTCTGTCTGGCGAGGGCTCGTGGAGAAATCTTGTGGTGTGCATACACAGGTCGTAACATACTTGGCGAGACTCCCATTGACAGAAACACACGTCGCCAGGTATGAACACTCAAAAGATTACGATGGTCTCCGTGACATATTTTGCGGGGTGAAAATCGTGTAATGTGAACTAGCCTTTAGCCGAACTTTTCACATCACAATCACAACTTAACCCTACGACTTTACTTACTTCACTACTGTCTCTAACACAGGCGTCGGTGTGCATGCTAGTAAACACACAAATGCACATGCAGCATTGTCTTGTTTTGGTATTGACTGTAACAGTGACATTTAAATTTCACTAATGCAACAAATATTAAAAATGATTTATTTTGGGGTGCATGTTTCGCTGTTTGCTGTCCTTATTTTTTGTATGTTAAAAAGTGGTTGTCACTGATGGCAACCAAAGACAACTGATAACTCTGATGATGTCACCAAGGTTATCCCCACACCAACAGATATGTAAATTTAAGTTCTGGTTTAATCAGAAGTTACATGCTGATGGTATTTTTCTCGGGGCGCAGTGACTGACTCTGAGACTTCTAATGTGAAAACATTATAGCAGCTATACATCTAAACTTTGTTGGTAGTGCTGTTCTTCAATAAAAAGTGGTGTACATGACAAAATATGGAAAGATTGGATGCCATTTGATCAGCAGATCAGTTCTAACAATTGAAGGGAAGAACAGCAGAGGAAGAACAGAAGGCGAAATAGAGGCGAAGTCCCTCCAGTTCCTGAGGACCATCATGCGTAATAGTTCGGAAAAAGTATGCACCGAACGCTGAGATATAAATTCATTTTTGATCCAGTCTGAATTGTGCAATGAGTTACACATGTGATCTTTGTCAATCTAAAAGATAAGTTTGCAAGTCAAAAAAGTCAGTTTGTCGTAAAACTGAAGACAGTGAAAATGCACTCCCATAAGTCACGAGTGAGATCATAACTTCCCCCCTTACTGAAGCTATAATGTCGGTCCTGCATTCTCGCTCTTACAGAACCAACTTACTCTCCTTTAGCATAACTGCATCTCTCAACATGGCGAGACTGTGGTGATTTCCACCTATAGATGTCATCAAGGTACACAATGTTTTTTTACAGAAAACGGCAAAACAAGGTCCGACCGAGCGAGATTGCCTCTGCAACTCTTACTGAAAAGTGCGTCAAGGGCTTATTCATACATGAAAACCAATATGTAAAATTGCCAGCACATTTACCCCAACACAGTTCATCTCTGAAAGGGGCCGGAGAGAAAGAGAGAGAGAGGTATAAAATTGAAATAGGAAATAAAAAAAAGAGAGATTCAAAGGCAGATGGAGAGGCAAATGTGATACAGATAAATGGGAAGAGGATGAGGAGGACGGGCTGTGTGTACACGGCGCAGACGGAGGGGTGGGGTAGGGTGAGGAGCGCAGAAGAAAAGGTTACAGGGAAGGGAAAAGGGGGAGGAGGGACGAACAAAGGATTTGCAGATGAAAGAGAGGAGGGATGATTAGGGATCTGGAAACTGACATGCATGGATTTGACACAGTATAATTGGTGTTAGGGAGGCTAAGGCAGAACAGTCAGAGAAGGGAGAAAGGGGGGGAGACGGAGAGGGGGAGAGAGACGGAAAAATATGAATACAAAGGGAGACGAGAGGAACGTACAGGCACAGATCAAGACGCTAAATTAGATGCTGTGGTTTAAAACCGATTTATGTGCTGAGAGAGAATCACTTCCCACTACACACCTGACAGTCATGGCCCTTACAACCACCTTGATTATATTATCATAATCATTATTATCATCGCCATTAAACGCATCACGAAAGACTGTGAGATTGTTCGTCCTTATAGAGGAAATGAGAGTTTGGAGGAAGGCTCAAACCCACTCCAAATCCTATTCTTAAACTTCAAACTTTTAACATATCATGACACTTTGAACTTTATTGGTTTAAAAGGAGCTTTTATGCTTTTTGATATCTCTTATATCTAGAGTAGGTGAAGTCATCAAGGGCATGAACCTGGCTTTCTAAACAACAACAGAAAAACATTTAAAGTGATTTCACTCCCACAGTTTTCAACCTTTGACACAGGTATTTCTCTGCGTCCTTCCACTTGAAGTTTAAGAATCTAACGGGGAAGATTTACTTCTTGATTTATGACGAACGACAGACGGGGAGTGACTCAGTCTCCCAATTCAATCAGAGTGTAACTTGCACATGATCGAAAACTACATCATCTCGTTCAGCTGAGTCTGCTGCGCACCGTGTAAATGAATGCAGGCAATACCAGAATATACTTTTCGCTCCGCTACTGTTTGCTTCCAATATTATTCATGCTTTGAGAGTGATTGTGACTCAGCAGTTTTAATTAGGCTCTGGCGCTCTCTCACACATAAACACACACACACAACGCAAGGACAAGGTTAGCTTAGAGTGGCGGGTAAACTGCTGCCACTCTGCTAGACTACATCTCCCACACCGCATCAAAACATAATTATCATACATTTGGCATACAAGCCTGTATTCAATTGAATAGAGAACAAAGACAAGATATTTAATGGTCAGCCTCAGAAAATGTATCATTTTTTCTGTGATTGATACCTGCAACATGCTCCAAAAAGTTGGGACAGGGGAAGGTTTACCACTGTGGGACATCACCTTTGTTTTTAGCAGCACTCCATAAGGGTTTATGGACTGAGGACAGTAACTGTTTAAGTTTAAGTAAAGATTTCAAGAATGGTCCAAAATCCCATCTGAACGCTGTGAGACATCAGTTTCTTCATACAGGAAGTCTCTTGAAACTGGCATTGCAAACAAAGGCTTCTCCAAGTATTTGATATGTTTTTCCTGTTTCATCCCACTTTGTTGCACATCATTTTAATGGATTGTTGAAATGTTATGATTTCTTTATCAGTGAAAACAAAATTCTTATTACCTCCCCTGTATGTTGAAACAGATTTTGCAAATCATTGCATTATGTTTTTATTCAAGTGTT